TTCTCCTAGATTCTCTTCTAACAGAAATATATATATAATTTTCAAACTATCTTTATATAAATTATCTTGTTTGATAGTCATGAAAACAGTAAGGCAAGTAGCATGATGAAAGCTATGTTTATTATATTAAAGAATTCCAGTGACTTTGACTTGCTCCAAGGAATATGGTTGTTCATTTGTTAAAGTAGGAAGCCATCTTTGAAATACCAAAATATGTACGAGAAAAGGAGCTATTTAAAGGAATTCTTTGATGGAGTCTTTTGCAAAGTGAGTAATCCTTTAATAATATACACAATGATTATCTGACCCAGATTTAACATACTGGATTTTCTTAAAGCAGAGTTTGAAGAAAGTGATACAATGGTAAAGATTTATATTTTTATCCACAACCCAAAATTTGTGAGGGAAGCCCCTTTACAACTACCTTGTGTCATGCCTCCTAAGTCCCTTTTCTAAAGACTTGAAGCACTCCAGGTTTACTTGGGTAAGAAATGACATTGACCTTATATCTGACCATTTAAAAATGTTCTGCTTGTATCCTCTGTCAGATAAATAGTAAGAAGGGGTGTATCTCTGAGAACAGACTTTGTACATGTTTTTACTTGGCACACATTGAGATCTGCTACTGGAAAGACAATTCAAAACATGTGCTTCACTGATGATACCTTCCTTATTAACTTTGGCTGTCTTAAAGATTTTGATATCTGGTAAGAAATTGATATTGATGACTAGCGAGACACCAATAGTCTCAATCTCAGCTATCTGTAGGATGGGTTTATGTTAAGAAGTAAAAATAAAAAGCCTTTACTTATTTTTTTTCCTGATAAAGTTCCTTGAAAAAATTGGAAGACACAAACAGGCAAACATTGAGGGAAAGAGGTAGGGAAAGAGAATTAAAAACACACTCAAGGGCCGGGGATTTAGCTCAGTGGTTCTGCCGCCTGCTTTGCAAGCACAAGGTCCTGAGTTCGATCCCTAGTATCAAAACAAAACAAAACAAAAACACACACTCAATTTGGGCTGGGGATCTAGCTCAGTGGTGCTGCCGCCTGTCTCACAAGTGTAAGGTCCTAAGTTTGATCCCTGGTACCAAAAAAAAAAGCCAAAAAAACAAAAAACCACACTCAATTTTACCACCAAATACCAAGTGCTAACCATTAATGTTTTGATGCATTTACTTTTTTTTTTTTTTTTGGTACCGGGGATTGAGCTCTGGTCCTTGCGCTTGCGTAGCAGGCGGCAAAACCACTGAGCTAAATCCCAGGCCCTGCATTTACTTTTAATATGGAAAAATTATGGATGGCTTTTCTTATCATTTTAGTACTTTATAATGTAAATAATATATATTCTTTATATAAACATAAAATACCCATGTAAACAAGGTGGAGAGAGTGCTATATATGTAGATTTTAGCCTACTTTTTCATTTAAGCTGATATTTGATAATTTCCCCATTCCTTGTAAGGGCAATTTAATAAAATTGTTACTCAGTTATATATCATTTAGCTTTATCGCTGTTTTTTGAAGTAGTCTCTCATTTTTGGATGTTTAGGTAATATATGTATAGAGTATGTGAATTGCTATTATAAATACTGCTGGGCTGAACATCTTTGTACATAAATTTGTCATCAATTTGGTTTGTTTTTCTAAGATTAGTTACTAAATGTAAAAGAAGTGAGGAATGCTGAGATTTTTATGTTTTTTCATACATATCACCAAGTGTTTTGGGGAAAATTTTAAATGAGTTAACACAACTCATTTAAGATTTTTTTCCTACACAACTATAGGGAGATGGAGTAAGGAAATGACTTTCATTTTGGAAATGGTTGGTACATTAATGCCACTGCATAACCCTTATTTGTTCCATAACAGTGAAACATTTGAGTTGGTCACTTAAGACTTGTTAATCACAAAGAATGCTGATATTGTTTATAATGGAGAAAGTATTGTTGCCAAATTACTTTTTACATCCTAATAGAAACTAATAGATCTTTTGTTTTAGTCATGTACATTGTTATAGCAGTCAATACAAATTTATACTAACGGAGTATACTGATCACAGTTTGTGTGTGTGTTTTCTGGCATGTTCTAAAACTATCATAATCCTGTCTATATACATTTGTTGATTCCACATAAAAATTAAAAGGGTAAAAATGACCTAAAGTCATTTTATTTGATTTGAAAGAAATGCAAATTTTAGAAAAAGAGTGATTATGTTAATTTTTAGGAGCTTCTGATGTGATGCCTAGATGCAGAGTTTTGATGATTAGCAAGCAGATGAGACAGGAAAAGGGAACTAAGTACCTATTTTATGCCAGATAGTTCTCAGTTACATGTTAAAGTAAAGCTAATTTTATCTTCCTTAATTGTTGTCAGTGTTCTTGAAAATGTTTATTGATTTCTTAAAAGTGGTTTGGCATATTGTTTCACCAATATCCCAGGTACAAAGAAGTTTGTAGGTATGGCTATATCCAAGTCATATGAAATTAATCATATTAATAATTTATTGAATATCTATCATGTTCAAGAACTATGTCATAAACCAGAATATTAGTACAACAAAATTATATATACACTTGATTTTTTAAATAATGGGATTCTCCTTATCAAAAATGAGTCTATCTCAGAGTCAAAGAGTTATTTTAAAATAATTGACCTTGTTAGATTTGATGCTCAGCTTTTTTAAAAAAAATTATTGTTTTTGTTTGTTGTTTGTTTTTTTTTTCCATTGCCAGGGATTGAACTCAAGACCTTACACTTGCGAGGCAGGTGGTGGAACCACTGAGCTAAATCCCTCGCTCGTTTTTTTTTTTAACTTTTTTTTTTTTGCTCAGCTTTTTAAAAATTTGTCATTTTGGTCATATATCACTTGTGAACATATAAAATACCTGCTAAACTATATTAAAGGTGGTTTTTCTAGGATAACATCATGTTGAATATCTTACATTCTTTTTTTCTGATTTTTTATTTCAAAATGTTTGACTGACAAATATATATATTCAGAATTTACAGCATGATTTGATATGCATATGTATTATGTAATGATTACTATAGTCAAATTAATTAACATGTCCATCACCATCCATAATTACTATTTTATATGTGTGATAAAAACACTTAAAATCTACTCTATTATCAAATTTTAAGTATATAGTACATTATTGTTAACTATAGTTACCACGCTGTCCATTGGATCCACAAAATTTATTTGTTGGTTTGTTTGAGATAGCGTCTAACTATATAGTCCAGACTGGCCTTGAAGTCATGGCCAGCCTCCTGCCTCAGCCTCCCAAGTGCTGAGATTGCAAGCATATGCCACCATGCCAGACTGAATTTATTCATTTTATAACAGAAAGTTTGTACTCAACATTTTCCCATTTCCCAACCCCTCACTGCTGGAAGCTAATATTTTACTGTCTACTTCTATGATTTCACGTATAAGTGAGATTGTATAGTATTTGTCTTTCTGTGTATGGCTTATTTCACTTAATATAATGTCTCCAGACTCATCTATTTTGGTAAATGGCATAGTTTCCTCATTAAAAATGACTTAATAATATGTGTGAGTTTATATACCTCCTACATTCTATTTATTAATTTATCTATTGGTAGACTTTTAGGTTGCTTCAAGTTTTTGGTTATTATTCCAAAGAGTGTTAAATATGAATAAGTTCTATGACTTATTTTAAATATAAGATATAACCTCTGATTATACTGAAAGACATTCAAATAGAAGTTTATTATCTTTAAATTCATACTGCTACCAGGTAGTTATCAATTTTCGTAGTCTCATTAAAAATTCTAACCTTTATTGTTTATCTTCATGTTATATTCCTTTGCATTCAGAGTTCTACAGAAATTACTATCTCTGCATATAACTCAAACTCAAAATTGCATTTTAATTTTTGGAGTAATTGGTAGAGACTATTATGTCACTCCAACTTCTAAATTCATTTATTCATAAATCTTTATCTGCTCTTTTTATAGTCTTCCCTACTGAACCTGATTTATCTTTAATCTTTTTTTTCTCTTGGGCACAGGTAAATCACTAGGCTATTTTGCAGGGATGTTGAGCCTGGGATATATTTCAATCATTTGCTTTCATTTCTCTGTGTGCTAACTTATACAGTTTCATCCTTCTGTAATAAATTCCTCCAATGGATCAGAAATAATTTTTTTTCTCAGCAATAACATTTTTATGATTCCAACTGTAGGCATCTGGACTTTATCACTTTCAAGATCTAAGCTTGGCATTGCAATGCAGAAAGTATATTTATGCAGAGTTGTGCTTAAAAAATTTACATCTCTATGTTATATACTCTCTGAAGGGGACATGAACTGCTAGATCATGTTATGGTCATTACATAATAGAACTATCAATAATCTTATTTGCCACAAAATATAATTTTCTATGTGTCAAATTCATGTTGAATGTGAGTTAAAGGAATTGACTTACTAAAAGTCCCTTAAAATACAAATAATAACAAATTCCTTATAATATTTTATCTTTATTAAGGTTTTTTTGGGACAAAGTTTCAAGTGTGTTTTCCGATATAAATATATTCCGTGTTTTCAAGAGGTAAATATATAATTAGATCAAACAATTACAAGATATTATTTCTCAAGATCTTATCCCTACCTCTTATAGGGCCTTTTGGCCTTTTTCCATTTCTGCTCCATTGTTCTTCTACCCATTTTTCTGGGATTTCACTTGGGGATAACTTTTATATACTCTGTAATATTCGCTGGCTCAAATTTAAGAATATATGGTAATCC